GGGGGAGAGGAGGGGGGCTCCGTCCAGTCAGAGGACTTTTGTAATGTTAAATTTGAATTCTACGATCAAAATTACACACGAAAGAACACCACAGTCTGGCACGGGAACTCAAAAATATTTGATCACCTGGAAGCCATTTCAGGAAGGACCTTAAGCCCCCCCCCCCCCCCCCCCCCCNCCCGATGGGTGCAGAACAATTATGGACCTCTTATGCGGGATCCTTGACATGGAAAACCAACTGACAAGTATTCATACAGCAATTGAAGTTGCCCATCATAGTCATTTTTCCATCAATGCTAAATTGAAGCCAAAATTTGAGATCTATTATCCTGCACCGTTCAAAAGTCATGGGCAAAAAAATTATTTCCAGACGGCCCCCCCATCACCCTCCCCCGCGAACCGGATGATCAATTAGACCATTTTTGAACGTTCCTATACCCGAAGAAGATCTTGTTCTGGGTCCAGTTCTAATGGCAGATAAAACAATCACTCTCTCCAATATTTCTTAAAAACTATTCGCCTGTGCGAAGAACTGTTCAGCGAACAGTGGCACCTAATGATAAACAGACACGGCTGGCCAGGCAGGGTGAGGGAGGGATTTTTTCGAAGTAAGAAGGTGCGTATTTTCGAAAGAAACGCAGCGCTCCTAGACGGCGGAAATCTGGATCACGGATCTGCCCCGGGGCGAGGGGGGCCCGCCACGTCTGTTTCGGGATCCGAATGCAGTCCGAGACGCTCAGTTGGCGACTGAGGTTCATGCGGGTCGTTTACGTTCTTATCTCACTCGGCGCACGGCGTCTAACCTAACCTCTTAGAATTCTGTCGTGATTACTCCGCGTGGTCTGTACGTTCGATTAGATTCCAGTGTTGTCTGTTCCTAGAGTGACCAATCGGAAGGTTTTCGCGCCAGCGTGTCTGTCTGGCGCTTGTTATCTGAATCAGTCGCTAGTCTGATCGAAACGTCGACGAAGTGCGTGGTCGTCGGTGTGTGGTCTCAGTTTTCGCGGCGGTCTCGCCTTGCTGTTGTTGATTCTCCCGATTGATTGATCAGAGCTGTTGCAGACGGATTTTTGTGTTGACAACTCGTCGGTCATTTGATTCTAACTAGTTTGACTCTTGTTATTGTGTGTGGTGTCGCAGTATTTCCTTTGGATTCGAATCTGCTGGCCATCTTTGGATACCTTGTGAACAGGTAGGTTTGCTTATCATGTACTGTAGACATGACCTCAGTCGAATTAAATGTTGTACACCTTTGTTTCAAGAAGTACAGATGGTTGAAGTACTGAAATTATTTTGGTCAATGCTGAAACCTACTGAAATGTAACCGAATCCTCCACTGACTCGATAGACGTGAGCATTTTCCTTGTGTGAGTATCTCACTCAGATTTTTCAAACCATCTAACTGGTGGCACCTCTTACCATTAAGTGACTATCTCTATTCCATACCTACCTACCTACCATCCACGCCTTGTTGAAACCAGAGAAACAGCTATCACTTTCCAAGTTTCAGAACAACTGTGGTGTTCATTTTCCTTCTCCAAGTGATTGTTTTTTCTAGCTTTTGTACGCCATTTTCAGTCGTTTTTTCAAATTAATGCACGCCATTTTAAGTGCACTTTTTTGAAGAAAATACTGTCTTTGAGATAATACACTTCTGCATTCTGGGCCAGGGGAGTGAAGACCTCGGATCGCGGACAAACCGTTCGTCGCTCAGTGGTCAGAGAAGGAAGATTTTCGCACAGTGGGACAGGGAAGGAAGATTTTAGACAAAAACGCAGATTTGCCCGAAGGATGAAGCCTCCCTGAAATCGGCGCGTAGCGGAGCGCCGGTTTTTTTAGATCAAAATATTTTCGATGGAATCCTCATGATAGTGCCTTGTTTCTAATGTGGGGACTAATCTCTAAAAACGTTGAAAAATGTCCTTTGCAACAAACCTCAAATAAATTATTTTTTAGTTGCCTTTCGGAAATTTTGACCTCCCCGAAAGAAAATTTGTCACCGGAAACATGTACCTATGCCTGTATTCATCGGCATTTTTTATAGATTTGAAAAGAATTTCCCCCTCTGTATTTAATTTTGACGATTTCAATCTCATTCATCCTCACCTAAGTGCATACCATCTTCAAGGTTGTCAATGGGCGATAAATGGGGGTCTCGCTGGTTTTACCGAAAAGCTTCCTCCTCATCCTCTGCCTCTCATGCATAACAGGAAGAAAACGGGGCGGTAGAAAAAATCCGGTGCCCCTTCAACACGTGGTCTCTCGTTTCCCCTGCCAAATCGTGCAATTAGTCAATTTTAAAAGAATGGCCGAATCGTTATGACGAGAATCGGAAAGAATATTTCCAGCAGAATCTGAAACTTCTCGGCCATGTCCTGAAGCGAGAATGACTTTAACTTCGCTTCAGAATCAGACAATGTTTCAAAATTTCACTTTTTAAATTTTCGATAAGCAAAATTTGCCAGGTTCTTGCGGGTCGGATTGCTATCGCAAAATATAAAATTGTCGCACAGTGGATCGAGTAAATTCGAGCGGTCGGAACTGAAATATTTGATTAAACCCGCAAATTTTGATGTTTATTTCGTCACAGTTTAAATTTTAAGGGATGCTTTAAGAAAAACATTTTACGAGGAAACCAAGAGAACTACTTTTAGAACCTCAATTTTTTTTATAAACGTAGTTACTATAGGAGTGGCGTGGCGTGAATTGCGATGTATCGATTGTTATGCCATTTAAACCCATGGTAAAGAATCGATTATTAAGGTGTTCGCTGCGAACACCCTGCTTATCGATCCTTTTCCATAGGTTTAAATGGCATGTTAATCGATATATCGCAATTCACGCCATGCCACTGGTTACTAGCTTCTAAAATTTCCAAATTTTGTCCAGCTCGTATTGACTCGACCCACTGTGTGCCGGTTGTGGGATGCATCGCGATCAACTTTGGTAGTTTTTCCGCGAGTCAATTATTTTTTGACTCGCACCTATCAAGGTTCGGCTTCAGTCTTTCATCGGACAAGCGTGCAGTGAAAAGGTAGCCGTGCGAGGGAACGAAATCGAAATAAGACATGCAATGCACGGTGACAATTGGTTTTAATGAGTGTCCCAATCAGTCTTAAAATAAACGCTAATCAAGACCCTTCCCCCTCCCTGCCAGGGTTCGGTGAGTGCATTGTCTTATCACCGAAGAGCCCTATCACTTGGTCACGTGTATGAGGAATTTTGATCGTTGTAACGTCTCCAAAAGCGAAGAAATATCTAGCATCCAACCGAGCGGGAAACTGGACCTTTGACTCTTTGTCGTGTTATCTTTCGTGTTGGATTCAATAATCGATCGGAGTTGGTTGCACCGTTAATTAGAGGGCCTTTGAAACTGTAGTGAAACGTTAAATTCGAATAATGTTATCATATTTGAGGAAAAGAGTGACGTGGGCTTACAAAATTGAAGCCGTGTCTGATGACACATGCTACACGCATCAAAACACGTTGAAGATCCTTAAGTAATCAGAGTGAATATTAAATTATCTCAATGTATGATTCCTCATCGATTTGAAATTTCGAGCGCATTTAATACCTATCCTCGTCTCCTGGAAGAAAGCACGTAACTCCATTCCAAGCTTGCCAAATTGACTGAAACAATCAATTTATTTTATATCAATGTTCGTGTGCAATTTTTACCCCAAAATTTTCTGATTTTCGCATGCAATCTGAGGAATAATCAGTGAAAAGCTCAGTTAGGCACGCCCAAGATTTTCCTAGTTAATATGCAATTTCCGAGGTGAAACTTGACAACATTGAAATGGAGTTACGTTCTTTTGTGACGTAAACGACGATATGTCCAAAATCACCTCGCACAAATCAGTAGGATAGTGATCAAAATAGTAAGTAAGGCAAAAAAAAAGTAGAAATAATGATGGCTCTCTTCCGATTCGTTCAACGTGCATTTTTTCTCCGCGCACTGTGCGGAATTTCGAGGAAAAATCGGAGGATTGGTTGCGTTACCCATAGAATTGTGCTTTGATGGTTGAATTTTTAGGATTAGGCAAAAAATAACGGGACGTATCGCAACGTCAAGTTTCTATAATTCCAACTGAGTTTCTCCACGCAGCAGGCTTTTTTGATTTTACCAAACCGCTCCTGTCTCCTGTATGAAACTACACGTTTCATTTTTTGAAATGCGCTAAAGTGAGAATTGATCAAAGCCGTTAAAAAATTTTAACTTCGGCGCGAAATTGTTGCTGATTAGTCGTTTGAATACCAATGAGTTCAGCGTTTGTGCCAAGTTCTACTCCGGTTCACTGTCACTTAGGTATTCAGAACTCGTGCCGTTTCTTACCCTCGCTTCTTTCAGCAACAATACCTGATGCTTGCGCGTCTAGTTTCAGTTACTTATCCACGAATCATAATTTTGGTCAAAGCTAACAATGCACGTCAATCACTGAACATGGTTTAAGGCACAGCCATACTGCGTTGATCACAATTTTGTGAAATTTTTTTTGGATAATTTTAGGATGTGTGCTAAAGTCGAGTTGAAAGTCTGAAAGCCCTTTCCGAGAGGGGGGGGGTGTCTGTTATCCTTATACCCTATACCCTATACCCTATACAGTATCACTGTGTTTAAAATCAAGTAGACCTATTATGGAATGGACCAAACTTCTGGTTAAATTTGGTATAGTTTATATTTCAGTGATACGCATTTTAGTCCTAGGAGTGCTGAAAGGCTGAAACTTCTTGATCGAGCGACTGCCGGCATGGGGAAATGAATTACGCAGTGTACTTACTGCACGTAATAACACCCCTTAAACCATGACGCGATGGTGTTTCGTCTTGCACCTATACCCTCATGTTACTTCCTACTCTCTCCTTTTTTGTAATATAACTGGTTTTAACTGTCATCAACACTGACTCAAATTTTCTAAAAATGACTCTCTCATATCGATTTCTTACCCAAGAGGTTGAAATCCTCAAAAAAATGATGCCATTCGGTGTGAATGGTGTGGCGTTCGGTTGTTCTTTCTCTATCCTTGATCTACAATAGCTGTCCAATGTAAGTCACTTCTACCAGTGTTGAATGGCTGGTCTTTCAATCAAAGGCATCAATTTGTACCTCTCGACGCTATGAATCATCCGAACCGCGAATCTGCCTCGACGACAGGTTTTCAAGGCTCCTCGAATCGCGTGAAATTCATTTTCACGGTCTTCGATCCGGGCGTAATGCAGTTCGCAATGGTCGAACGAGCCGTTTTTGAGGACGGCACGAGGGGCTGTCATCTGTCACCACGAGAGGCACCAAACAAACACCTCGCAAAGACGCAGACGCGGGGCTAAGTGGAGGCGGAGGGGTGGGCCAGGTCAGTTCATAACTAATTTCGCTGGCAAGAGCCGGCGAGCGTGAAAGGTCCCGACAATGAGAGTGAGAGAGACGGACGCGATGTTTGGAGCGAGAGACCGGAGGCTCCTTCGTGTCGCAGCCGTCCATTCCATTTGCTGAAGAAGGAACTCAGGAAACGCGGCTCCATGCTTCAAGGTCGCAGGAACAATGTTGTCGTGCCTGGGGATTTTTTTTTTTGGCTTTGCGTGAATAGATTGCTGGAAAATCTTTCACTTTGGTGTGAAACTGTGTGGATTGTATGTTTTACTTTAATACTTGAAATGACGACAGGCTGTCTACAAGTCCGGACTTTCCGGAAAGTCCGAAATCCGTACTGATTTTTTAAGGGCGGTCCGGAGGTACAGAAAAAGTGCGGAAATTCCGCAAATAGGTCCGGAATTTTTGTCATTTTTGTCGCAATTTCAGCGAGAAATTGAAATTTTTTGAATTTTGTCAATTGGAGGTACTGAAAAAGTACTGAATTTTTCATTGAGAAGGTACTGAATTTCTTGGGAATATACTGAAAAAGTACTGAAGAAGTACTGATTTCTGGTCAGTCTGTTTTCGTGGACACCCTAGACGACCGATGTGTTTCATCTCTCGTCATTTCATATGAGTTTCCTTTTTTTTAAAATACAACTCTTTGAAAGTTCCACCCTACTTAAATATCAGATTGCACTTTCTTGAAATGACCAAGCAATACTTGATAAATGGAAACTTTTAACGTCGCTATTAAGACACTTGTTTTCATACTTTCATTATGACTATGAAATCACGCATCCACAATTGAGCTCTCAGTTTATTGCGAATAGTGCACTCGA